GCAAAACAAAGGTTGCCAAACATTTTTAAGAGACTATAGTCTACTGAAGTATTGTAGACATAAATATAAGGTTTTATTTTGAAGGACTGGTGATGGAGTCCTGTTTATGAGATAGGTGGCTGTTAGAATACATTGTCCCCAAAATGAAATAGGAACTCTGGACTAGAAATATAGTGCTCGAGCAACATTTAGCAGATGTTGGTGCTTTCTCTCAACACCAGAATTTTGTTCTGGCTTTTCCATGCATGAGTATTAGTGTATCACCCCTTTAGCATTAAAGGATTTTGTGAATTTCAATTCCTTAACATTATCAGATCTGAAACATTTTATCACCTTGTTGAATTGAGTTTCTATGAGAGAGAAAAATCTAGGAATGATAAAAACATCATCTGATTTTTGTTTCATCAAATATGTCCATGTGAATCTGGTGCAATCATCAACCACCGTAAATAAATACTTGTAACCAGCTTGTGAAGTCAAATTGTAGGGTCCCCAAACGTCGCAATGAACTAGATCAAAAGCAGATTTTGATAGGTGATTGTTAGAAATAAACGAGAGTCTTCACTATTTTGCCAATGGACATACATGGCAAGGAATAAGAGGTTCTTTCCTTCTTTCATCAAATTTCAACAAGTCCTTTAACAAACCAAGTTTCTTAAATAACAAATGCCCAAGTCTGTGATGCTAAACATCACTGGTTACATTATTTGCCAATGAATTACAGCCTATAATATGACCTGATCCAGGTGAAACATGAGGGGAATGAACTGAATTACAGGACTCTTTTGAACAAACGACATTATTGTGAATTGAATTAAAGGATTCAACATCAATTATATAAAGATCTCCATCCCTTTTACCCTTGCCAATCATCTTCAAAGTTGGTAGAACCTGAATAACACACACATCAGTAGAAAAACTGACACGTAATGAAGACTTTCATGTCAAAGAGCGTACTGATAACATGTTAAAACTGAACTGTGGTGCAAACAAGACATCTTCAAGAATGAGTTTAGTTGATATCTTCACATTTCCAATAAATTGAACAGGAATCTTATCATGATTAGGCAGAGTAACAAATGAATTCTGAACTTCTCTTAATGTATCAAAAGCATATGGATTTGAACAGATATGGCTGGTGGCTCCAAAACCAATCACCCAAACAGTTGGTGAATTGATTAATAGAATCGAAAGAAATAGAAAGACATGTACCTGCCATACGATTAGAAGTGTTTTCCTGTTGTGGTTCAACCTTGGCTGCAGTGAGATGATTGTTCAACATACTCAGTAATTGTTGGTATTGAGTAGGATTCAAAGTCTGCATAAAATTCCCAACTTCACCTTTGGATTGATCTACATTATGAACTGGTTCAGTCACCAATCTAGCTATAACACAGTTTGCTTGATCAGCTCGACCACTTGAGTTGCTTTGATTATTCATTCCTCCAATTCTCTGCTTAGGTCTATACCCAGGGAGAAAACCATGTAACTTATAGCATTTTGAAATGTCATGACCTATGTATCCACAGTATGTACACATATGTCTTTCTTTCTTCTGAAATATGCTATTTGATTGTCCTACATTTGGCTTTCTAGCTTCATTTCTAATATAGAAATCCATTGAGTCGTTGACACCAGGAACTTCAGCATGCACATTTACTTTTCTTTGATTCTCCTCTTGCACAACAAGAGCAAATACTTTGTTAATTTAGGGATTTGGATCCATTAATAGCATCGACCTCTTATCTATGCAAATGATTCATGTAGCCCCATTGGAAAAGACATGACATATTCTGTCTGATAGTGTTCTGCAAGGCCTTTATTTCCCCCACATACACACTTGCCACATGAACATAAAGGCCTGTAACTACTGAGTTCATCCCAAACGGTTTTCAATTTTGTAAAGTAAGTACTAACAGATGATTCTCCTTGTTTTAGGTTCATCAAATCTCGCCTTAATTGGAATATACGTGGGCCATTCTTCTATTGGTATCTCTATTTAAGATCGGTCCAAATATCATTAGCTGATTCTGAGTATATAACACTCGCCGATATCTCATTTGAAACCGAATTAAGGATCCATGAAATCACCATGTTGTTGTTTCGGATCCAAGCACTAAACAATTCACCGTTGTTTTCCGGAGTTACAATTGAACCATCAATAAATCCTAATTTGTTCTTCACAGTTAATGCGATGATCATAGAGCGACTCCAGGAAGAGTAATTATCTCCTGTTAGAGGCTGTGAAACAAGCACCAATCCAGGGCTGTCTGAATGGTAGAGAAAGAAAGGATTAAATCCATCATCAGCTGTAAAATTGTTGGCTGATGATGCAGAAATGTGAGTTGATTGATTCGGAAAACCTGTAGCCATATGTTGATCAATTCACAATCGAAAAAGGGAAAAAAAGTTATTGCTCTAGTACCATATTAGAGAAGAAAGACGAATCTCTCATTAATTGAAGAAAACACGAAAATGAATTAATGACATTGGTGATGCTTGTTTGTTATATAAATACAATGGAAAATGAGCCAACTAACTAACTAATGAATACAACTGTAGATCAACTAACTAACTTCTAACTAACTAGATTCCATAAAATGGCACCAAAGTAAAGTTGCTGATTTGCTGGCTTGGCTAGATTGCTGATTTGATGGCTTGAGTTGAGTTGAGCTGGCTTGAGTTGAGCTCTAATAGGTTCGTCTTTAGGAAGTTTTTTAGTAGGGTTTTCATATGTTCAACTAAATTTTTGCCAACTTGGTTGTGTTTACTTTGCCGACAAAAAGGCATTCTAGTTCCTCAACCGCCGCAACTTCATATACACAATCGGTTATGCAAGGGTTGATTGAATAATTGGCTTCAATTTCTCCTCTATCGGGTGGTTTGCTTTAACCATGGTTATCATATTTGCCATGAGGGTTCCGATGCTACCTCTCTTAGATTACTACGGTGAGCTTCTTGCATGACCCCTAATCACATCTTATATAAGCTTCTTTAGTGTTTGTAGGGAATTTTACACATAATTCACAGAGATATTACTATATTCGCTTGTTTCATCTCAAGTCTTTCAAGGATCCCATTGTAAATGAATCTATTATCGAAAATGAGAAAATTCATGTTTCCTTGGTATACCCGGATTCCTCACCTAATTTCACTACTAGAGTAGTCTGTCGACGAGGTACTCGATCTTTTTTGGTGAAATTGCAAGGATCTGACACAAGGGTCCAAAAATGATGAATATGCATCCAATCAAATGCGCCCCCGAACAAAACATTTACTAAACTCGTTATCCAAAAGCATTCAATTAGAGCTACATGTTTATAGCATCTTCATCAGGAAATGTGATTTCACTCTTATTATCGAAGGAGATTTAAGTTGTGAATTAACTTAACTCTAGTGATTTTTCAATTATGAATTATTACCAGCTTGGTTATCATTCCTCTCTGATTTTGATATCCTCTTTTGGATTTAATAATGTCTGTATTGCTGTCTCCTTTCCAGCTCTTCATTACTATCTTCTTTGAGCTCTTCTCGATGTCTCTTTAGATTACTGCGACCTTCATGATCATTGTTGGGAAGTTCTACGATTCTAATGCTTACCTTGATGAGGCATGCGTCCTCTAGGCTCATCCTTAAACAATTTCTCTGGTGGTTTTGCTCAAAATGATTAGACTGTGGTTTTCTTCTTCAAATTCCCACAGACGGTGTAAATCTATTGACCTCAAAATAATGATAAAAAAATTTCTCTAATCTAATCAAGATTTTCTCCTCCTAAAGTCACTGATTCAATGCTCAAGTAGGAGTGAGAAGAAAAATGGCGATTTGAAAGGAAGATTCATAGATTTTGCATGTCATTCATAGTTCCCTGACTTTGCTCATTTATAGATTTCTACACAGGTCTTGGTGTAAATTAACCATTTTTTGTTCGAGACATATGGCAACTATTGATTAGTGAACTTATAAACAAATCTATTTAGCCCTTGTTTGATTACCATTTTTTCAAAATATATTTTTCTCTTTTTTTTTCAACTACACATTTTTCAATAAAACAATATCACACGTAACCCAAAAACTTTTCCTTCATTTTTAACTACACATGATCCATCAATTTATTATTCTAAAATTCATTCTGTACTAAAAAATGAAGCTCAAACATGCCATTAATTTCCTTGTCCATGTGTGATAACCCAAGAATAACTAACCAAGAAGAATGTGAATTGATTTTTACGAACTTTTTTAAAAGATTATTCTAAATTCAAGTAAGTTATGAAATAAAAGAATAATCAAACGATATGCTCAAATATAAAAACGATGAGTAAAAAGGGAAGAGAAAATGCAAACGATATAATTGTAGATGTTCGATCCAAATCAATGATCTACGTCTTTCATTACCAAACTCTACGGCACAAGCAATGCCTTTTCACTAAGTTGATTGCCTTGTGGTGCAATCCGACCATTTTACATGCATCTCGTGACTTACAAATAAGGAGTACCGATCCTTATACAATATTAAGCTTTACGGAACCTCATTATGACTCACACTATTGAACTTTTCAAGAGACCTCAACATGACCCACAAATTTAAAGAATGTTTTTACAATTTGAACCACTCTTTTAATAGATGATACACAATGAATTGAGTTATAATAAAGGCTAACACTTCAATGAAAAGATGATTTCAAAAGATGATTCAATCAATCAAGAGTTTTCACAATAAATTATTTGATGAAATAAATAAGATGTAGGCACAAAGAATTTTTGTTCAAGAATATCTCACTTTTATGCTCTTAATGAATGTTGAAATGAATGCAAAAAGTGAATGCATTTATAGAGTTAGATGAGAAAAAAAGTCCATGAAACCGGACAAGGATATGGACATATGCTTTCATGTCCAGACATACGAAACTAGCCATTGTGTGCCACGAGTTTCAAGTGCAACATTTACATATGTAAACAAGTGTAATCAAACCATTTGGAGAGCTAGTCTAGGCAATTCAACAATGCCCACCAAGCTGGTCATGTCGTTTTTGGCTAAAATTGACTACACCTTGACGGGTCGGGTTAAGGGTCCTGAACCGCAGGGCATTGTGGTTCTAGTCAAGTGGAATGCAATGGGGCTGTGGCCACTGCAGTCACCCTGGTAGAGTTCAATCTCGGGCTGGGTTCTCAGAATTTCTATGACGTTTGTCATTTTGATGGGTACAATTTGCTCATTATGGTTGAGGTTAGTAGTGGGTCTGGTCAGTGTGCATCCGCATGTTGTATCGAGGACGTGAATCAAAAGTGCCCCTCGAAGTTGAGAATTGACAGTGGCTTCGCATGCAAAAGTACATGTGACGCCTTTGCCGAAATACTGTTGTAAGAGTGAGTATGGATCACCTTCCACGTGTAGGCCATCAAGGGATTGAACTATTCCTCTTAACGTTATTGATTTTGCAAGATGGAACTCGCAAGTCTTAAGTGCGTGTAATCTTTGAGCTTTTGTCAAAAGTAGAAGCCTAACTGAGGGATGATTTAATTCTGTTTTGCAGTGGAAAATCGTCAAAATCAGATGGAACGGCAGATGGGTCCGAGGCCTAGCCTGCATCCGGGTGAGCGCAGGAGGCAAATATGCTGTCTGATGGGTCATGGTTGGCAAATTTGGCGAGTGGGGAGTCGACTAGGGCATGTCCTCTTGGTGCCGCCACAGGCGTTGGCTTATTGTCTCTCACAGGCACAGCTTAGTGTGTTTGGATTGGAGGAAGATTGCATGAAGCTAAAAGAGAGCAGAAATTGAATGGAAGCAACAAGCAACAAAACTGGAATGACAATTAAAACATTGACAAAAAGAAAAGGACTTTGCCATTGGTACGTTGAAGCCTCACTCTTGACCCTATCCCCAATATGTTGTCTCGGTTTGGGTATCTCATTAACTAAATTTTTTACACTTGAGCACATTGACTCTTGTTAACAAATAAGAAGATACCATTTCAAAAGTAAATTAATTTTAAATGCTAACAACGATTGCTACGTTCAAGTCTCAAATAACTAATGACATTTAGTGCAATTCCAAAAAATGACATTTAGTGCAATTTCCTCTAATTTTTTGAAATTTGTCACGCTAACAAAGTCTAAAAGTAAAAATTTCTTTTCTTTTCCTCTTTCTAGTCAAAATTTGGATCAATCTAGTTCTTTTTTAAAAAAAAGAATTTATATAAAAGTTAACCTTGAGAAATATTAATTTAAAATAATAATAAGAAAAAGGTAAAATGGGGGCTAAAAATTACAGTTTCAAAGCTACCATCTTAGGAGGGTAAAACAAGAAATGCACATTGATTCAAAAGTTTTGGCAATGAATAAACGAGTAGTTATATTTTCGATAAAGTTTTTTGTTAGTTGCACTACTTTTCAATTGCACTAAAAGTTTTTAATTTTTGCTCATTGTTTAACTTACATCCCCAATTTATTTTTTCTCTCAAAATTATTATCAATTTTAGTAATTAGCACATTATATCCTTGATGATGATTTTTGTCTAAAAAGTGCATTAGGATGACTTAAAAAAGATTTATTTGCCCTCATACTGAAAAAACTAATACAAACGTACGACATAACATTTGCACCACATTTAAAATTACGTTAACAAAATATTTCGACAGAAATCATCATCAAGACTAAGATATACCAATTAATGTAAAGTTGACGATAAAAATGCCATGAAGGAAAAGTTGAAGGCATAATTATGTTACTGAGCAAAAATTGAGGATGTCCAGAACAATTAAAAGTGGCGCAACTAAAAAATTATAGTGCATAGCTGCCCATAAATAATTAGCACTCAAAAATTGAATTCTGACAAAATTAGTATTTATTGATTGTTTGACAAAATTATGCAGTAGAAAAAGGTCAAAGAAACCTACTTTCCACTTAGAAGATGAGAAAACGATTTGCAACCAACCACAAAGATACAAACTGTTATCATAGCTTTTTTCTAGCTTTTATCAGATATAATCCCAATTTTTGTGCACCCACTGTTTCTAGGGCCTATTTTGATGTAAACTTCTTCCTAATAAATTTTGTAAAAAATTAAATTTTTTTTAATGTGATTAAAAAGCAAGAAAAAATTATAGATTAAAGTGTAAAATTATTTTATTGAAATAATTGATGGTTTAAATGATTTTAGTAAAAGAAACGTGTTTTAAAAAATATGTACCAAATCCCATCATGACCACCGATGTGAGTATTCAACTGTAGACTTAAGGAGCCCGTGGGATTAGTCGAGGTGCGCACAAGTTGGCTCGAACATCCACGGTTATAAAAAAAAAAAAATTAAAAAATGTACCAAATAGGAAGAAATGATCTAATGCCCACGAGCTGCATGGATTACAATGTCCACCATGGGCATGGTAACATCCATTGTTGCTGGTGTTGCCATGTGGCAACGCCAAATGTTGCTATGTCCAAGGTGTATATTATAATCTATGTCAACCGTGAACATTACATCAAAACAGACCAAATAGGAACTCAATGTGGCAACACTGGATGTTGCTATGTCCAAGAATGTTTAGATGGTTCAAAATTCATGCAAAAATGACAAGGGACAAATTTAGCTCTCATTTGAACCCCGTTCTTTTAAAACTTATTTTATACAAACTTATTTTCAACCACACATTCTTCCAATAAAATAATTTTACATGGAAATCCAAAAATTTTCCGCACTATTTAACCTTCACATTTTCCAAAAAAATCATTATTACAAAATTTTTTTTCCAGAAAAGAAGGTGGGGGGGGGGGTGGGGGGGGGG